TGGCATTTGATGAAAGTAGTTTCTCTGCATGTCATACAAAATCAAGCCAATTATCCCTGCATGTATTTTAGGTGAATTGTTTTACGTACATTTTTTCTCTTACCCTTCATCCAAGAAGCTCAGGATGGTATACATCTGCTTATTTAATTTTAGCTTCCTAACAGCCCTGTCAAGTAGATTAGGCTACATAATAGTAATCTGTCTAATGGTGGGAAGTCGTGCATTTCTACAAGCCCTACTGACTTCAATATGGTGTACTCCTAACTGTGAATTGGAAAAGCAGCCTGAGAGTATCTAGTGACCCCACGGCTACCTAGGATTGGAACCCTCTCCCCAGTGTATCATGATTGTCCCATTGCCATAACCCAGCACTGATCAGCTTGATTACTCAATCATTTTCTTTTTTAAAAAAAGATGATATCATTAGCTATATTAAACCTAGACAATTTTGTCTACTCAAGCAAAATATACTAAGCCAAAGTGTCAAGTTTGATATTTTGATGAAATGGGTTGTAGGACTGCCAAAAACTGGCCCATGGGCTTCTAGGATCCATTAGGCAAGCATTCATTCTGCTAGAACTGCTACTTTAGCATTTCTGATTACATTTTCCATGACATCACTTGGATCAAGGGCATTAGTTCAAAAACCTCTTCAACGAACCTTTGATTAAGCATTTCACTTCTACTTTATGGGGCCACATAAAATCACTTCCCATATAATTTACATAAGATATGTTGATAGTACAAGGGCAATGCAAAAAACAAAGAATAAAATTATGAGAAAACTGGTTTTGTTCATTCTGCCAGTCACTTTAAATTGTCTTTAATAACCACTTTAAGTATTTCCTTTAAATACTGAATAAATAATCTCAAGAAAGGAGATGGAAGCCTTACAGTCATAATGGGTAAAAAAACAAAATTATCCCAACATCAAAATAGCACTTTATCCTAATAAAATATGATTTCAAAGCTTCCCTTTATCAAAGGAAGCATTTGCTTCAGACCTTCTATCCCAATGTCTGCCAGATGTCTGTATGACCTTTCCTACAGTCACATTCTTATAAATGGGGGTACTTGAAGAGTTACTCAAGAGCCTATGTACATTCCAGATCACAAAGTTTAATTCTAGAATTCCAAAATTAAACTTCTGTCCAATAACTGTTCCTTGCATGCAGTGCTGCATACTCCTACAGTTACTAGCTATTAATGAAGAGGATGCAAGTACCCAGATTCCACACCGAGTATTAGTTCAGGAGGGGTACAGAACTTCAGATAGACAGAACAGTGGCAGCAAGGACGGGATTGCTCTAAAGTGCAACAAGAGTGGCCAGAGAGCAAATGTTCCCCCTCCATACTTCTCTACCCCAAGCCACTTTCTCAATCGTTCTTCTCACAGTGGAGGTTATACGAAGCCCCAGCAAGAGGAAAAACAGGTGAAGCATGTTGGAGTTGGCGAAAGGTTGGTACAGAAAAGGATTCACACTACCCTTCTTACCTGCCCAATCAGAAATATAAATAACTCAAACTCACCCCACCGTTTTGTATTATTTCAGTGTGTGCACGTGGTCTTGCCACCATCAGGTCTACTCTGGCTTTGGCAGCCACATGTTCATAGAACTGCAGCAATATAGCCCGATCTTATGTATGTTCACTTTCAAGTTAGACAGACCATTCCTAGGTAAATGTGTGCTGCCTTAAGCAGCCGTCAGGTACGAGAATAGCAGCAGCAGAACTCTTGTTGATTTTTCAGTTGTGCTCTTATGAAAGAAAATATTTATCTCTAGGAAAATATCAGCTAGAGCCAAAGCAGATGTTTAACAGGAGATGGGTAACACTCTCCCAAGCTGGGAGAGTTTTTTAGGTTGTTTTTTAGGTTGTTGTTTTTCTAATAAAAAACAGTTGCAGACTCTGCAAGTCTGAACTAAGAAGCAGCCCCTCACATGCCATTTTAATGTCCAAACCTGCAACCTCCCATGGCTGCCTCTGCTTAAAAGCTTCCCATTCGGCTGTGTTGCTGTTCGAAGCTGTATCCCCCACTCCCGTGTGCTTCCCAGTCCTAGAAGGAACATAGAAGCAATGCATGCTGGGGCAGGAAGTCCCAGCTTTAGGAATCATGGGATTGTGGTGGGTTGCTCAATGAAAATGTTGACCCAGCATGCAGCCACTGTGAAAAAGGCAAACTCCGGGTTAAGCATAACTGAATATAAAAGTGCCAAGCCTATACTCCCCTTATATAAATCTTTGGTGTGGGCACACTTGAAATACTGTGCACCACTCTGGTCACCACCCTTGCAAAATGACATTATTTAACTGGGAAAAGGTAGAGAAGAGCAATTAAACTGATGAAGGGGTTGGAGCAACTCCTCCATGAGGAAAGGTTACAAATGGGATTGTTTAGCTTAGAAAATGGCCAGGGTAGACATGACATAGGTGTTTAAAACTATGCATGGCATACATTTTTCTCCTTCAACCAGATTACTAGAACCCAGGGTCATGCCATGAAGCTCGCTGCTGGGAGATCAAGGACAGGTAAAAGGATGTCCTTCTTCAAATAACTCATAATTAAACTATGGAATTCACTGCCACAGAAAGTAGTGAGGGCTCCCAATCTGGCTTTACAAGAGGACTGGACAAATTCAAGGAAGAGAAAGCTATCAATGGCTAATAGCTTTGCTGGCTATGTGCTACTCTGTTACCAGCAAGAATATGCTTGCAAAACCAGCAGCTTGGGCAGGTTGAACTTTTGCACCCATCCTGCCTGGAAAAAACCTGTGGGTAGCTTTTTTTTGCTACCATGTGAATGGAGCTCTGGACTAGCTGGTCCACTGGTCTGATCTGACATGGCTTTTCTTACATTCACACGTTCCTAGTACTCATATATTTTAACTTACAAATGAATACAGCTCACAGTGGGGAGTTGAGGTGGTAAATGCCTAGAACAGGGTTAAGAAGCCCCTCACGTGCCATTTTTCTGTCCAAACTTGCAACCTCCCATGGCTGCTTCTGATTTTTTAAAAAGATCATTGCAGAATACTGTGGTATCATTTGGCACCAGTGACTCAAGCATTCCCGACAGACTGCCTTTCAATGAGCCTACCCAGGAACTAGCTCTTCCATGCTCATCTCACAGGATGTTCTCTTCCCTTTGCCCAGAGTCAAGCTGACATTTCCCCCAACTGCATTCACATAACTTTCCATGATCCCCAATTCCAACCCAGTACCTCCCATTTAATCCAGCCCACACCCTTTTCATGCACTGTCATTTACTCCAGTCAGTTTGGGGTTTTGTTTTTTGCTTTTTGCCTCCTTACCCAGACCAGATCCATCCACCACACCTGCCCTCATTTCCTCAAGCAATCTGACTAATTTTCTCCTCTCAGACATCCGTGTCATGGCTTCATTCACATTTTGGAAAGCAAAAATGAGGTTGGTGTGAACCCTCCAAGGTACTGGTCAGGAAATCTGGATTCTTAATCAGCTGAAGAGCACACTGTATGGCCCTAGAAAAGAGGTTTGCATCACCACACCCAACCCCATGCCATAAAACACAAAACAGGTGGACACTAAAGCAGGGGGCTTCAGCTGGAAGACCACTGGGGTCTGTACTTGTAAAGACTATGTGAGAGAGGAAACAGGGTAGCCAATTCCGGCTATTCTTTTATCACAGTGATGGGCAGACTTCAGACATCGACTATGTTTTTCTTGAGGTACACTAAATGGAGCGAGGTACAAAACAAAAGATTATTCTTAGTATAACAATATACTAAAAACAATCATACTAATATGAAAAGCCCCCAGACCTACAGTTAGGCAATATCTGTGCTGATATCAGCCAAAATGCCACAAGTTTATCCAACAAAACTCTTCATCAAGCCTGATGGTATAGGTGGCAGGAGATGAGGAAAAAACAGAGGAGTTACAAAATTAGGACAGAACTTGTGATAATGAGGTACAAAATAGTGGGCTCAGGCAGGAACCACATGCTACAAATTAAGGAATAGGATGCCTCTGAGCACATGTAGGAACTTAGAATCAGAATCACAATGCAGCTCACAAACCCTTTTACACAAAAATCCACTCCTGGTTTTCACTCAGACATTCTTTTTCAGCAACCTGATTTCTCTGGATGGGAGAGACAGCTATCTAGTTGTTGTTGGTATTGTTATACAACTGGAAATCAGAATCAGACCTACTGCAAATCTACGAACAGATTACAATCTACTTTCCACCCACCCTTTTTATTAGACTGGGCCCTTGTGAAATAACAGCTTTTAAGTCTTTCAGATGATGTGCAGAGGTGTATTTTACAAAAGGAAACAGTGGCCTGGGATGCAGCAGTAGCTCGGTGGTTTCCCATGGCAAAAGTTCCCAGGGTTTAATCCCCAGCATATCCCAGGAAAAACTGGAGAAAGACCCTACTAGGAACCATTGCCTGCCATTGATGCAGCAGACCACACGGGGCAAGATGCACCAATGGTCTGGCTCATTCAGGTAATGCTTTCTTTCAAGGGTACCACTCAGAGGCCCACCGGGGCTGGAGCCCCGAATCTCTGGGAGGCCACCTGCCCACCGCCCTGCTGGGCACGTGCAGAAGCAAAGGCGCAGGAGCCCTCCTGATCCCGGTTGCATCTGCCCTCCCTGGATTAACTGGCTTTTGCTCCCGGGCGCTTCGCTGCCTGCTCCCCCGGCTTTAATCTCTCTGCCTGATTTTTCTGAAATTGCATGCCCTCCATCGCCCCGGTCCATGCATGCCGTTTACTGAAACGGTGCCCTCGGGAGACAGGATCCTTTAAAGAAACACACCTGGATTTTAGAGGGCTGCTAAGTAGCGTACGCAAATCTATGCAATTTGCTATTATCGTTTTGCCCTGTGCCTGCGCCCCAGATCCTCTCGGTACCTGGTACGGCCCGCAGCCATTTTCCTAGGAGAATGAAGCCCGCGGGCGCTTTCCCTTTTCCGCTCCGAACTCCCCACGCGCCTCTCCCCACCGCCGGCTTACCCTGGCCGCAGGCGCCCCTCTGGATGGCAATGACAGGCGGCTGGCGCTGGCCCTCCGAGCGCCGGCTGGCGGCGCGCAGCTGGCACAGGTTGCTGTAGCTCCGTCCATCGTTGCCGCATACGGGTTCGTTGCTGGCGCACACGCAGCGTCCGCCCTTGGCCCGCTTGCGCACCGTGGCCGAGGCCGCCACGCCGGAGCCGCCGGGCGACAGCACGCACAGCAGCCCCTCGGCACACGACGGCTCCCCCGCCGGGGGCCCGCCGCAGGGCTCGCCCTCTTGCGCGGCGCAGACCGGGCAGCAGCCGCAGGAGTCGAGCGCCTCCCCGCTCCCCGCGCACTCGGCGGGCAGCTCCGGGCAGCGCGCACGATCGCAGCGCTCGGGACACGAGCGGTCGTCGTAGCGCCGCCCGAACAGCTGAGCCGAGCCGCCGGGGAGGCGCAGCAAGAACAGGCAGAAGCCGCCGAGTGCCAACGGCCACAGGAGCCCCCTCATTTTCCTCTCGGAAGGCGGGAAATCGTCCGGCGAGCGAGACACGCGCGGTGCGCAGTCGGCGGGGAGGAGGGCTTCCTCGCGCGCGGGGCGGAGGCGGGAGCCGCAGGCGCTGCAGGGAGAGCTCGCCCGGGCCTGGCTCGCCGAGGCGCAAGACAGAAAGTGGGGCAGGAGAGCCGCTTTTAAGCGGAGCCCGCCGGGGAGGGAAGAGGAGCTGGTGTGCGCGTGGAGAGCAGCCCGTCGGCTTGCGGCGGCGCTGCCTGGGAGGGGACTTGGCGGAGTTATACAATCTCCCAGCGCGAGAATGGAAACGCGCCTCTGCGCCAAATGGGGCAGCTAGCCGCCGCAAGCCGCAGAGCTGATACCCAGCACCTCTTTCTGCAAGCCAAGCGGCGAGACTCGAGCCTTAAGGCATTATTATAAGCTCCCTGAGCCGCTGGCTCTTAATGCTCGCATCCAGCGAGGCGGGGTGGAGCTAAGCAGGCTTCACACGTTCACACTGGAGCTAACGGGGGGCGGGGGCTTCGGGGGTTTTCTAAGTTTAGGCCCAGCGCCGAGAAAGTTGTCCGCATTGACACGCCGCAGGGCTAGTAGCTTTTGTCAGTTGAAAATGAATCTCACCATTTTCTCCAAGTGGCCCGAGTGGCTTTGCAAACAGCAGTGCAAATAGACGCAGAAAAGGTGGTAGAAAGAGAATCTACATGTGTGCTGGAAATGTGTGGATCTGCTCCGCGTAGTTGCAGAGTGAATATAAGAATTCACGGTGCTTCCGGGGTACAATAAACGATTCAAAGCACTGACTAGCACTGGTTGGATGACAGTAGCAAACACGCACACCAAAAACAAGCAAAACCCCCTACCTCGCAACTCAGTATTCAGGACCACATTATCCTGGTGGATCTGTCGCATTGCCACATCTTAGCTCTGATACGCGGGTATCCTGGGCCCTTGTCATGTTTACAAGCAGATGATCCAAACAAGGGATGGGGAGCTTGTGGCTCCAGATGTTGGGCTGCGTCCAGGTGGGGACTCTTGTCACAGTGCCATCTCTACTGAGCGTTGTCACTCTCTGACAACGGGGATTATCAATGCAAGAGAAAGCAACTACTTCACTTTCAGCATTACCCACTGGCACACACTGCCCTTCCGAGTGGCAGTGTTGGGGACTGGAGACAGCCTGTTCATTCCTCAATGCCACCCATTGAGGGAGCGTGAGTGGGCAATCATACACATTTTCATGCTGCTCTTCAATTATTATTGACAAGCATGGGCAGTTAATAGCAATTTGAACGTTTCCATGAGTCCTATTGCCTATAGCCCCAGGCTTGGCTTTAACGGTCAGCCAAAACTGCTGTTACTGAACCGTAAAATATCATTGAGAATGAAAGGTGTATTGAATAAAAAGTTACTTTACATTTCATGAGTATTTTCTAACATCTACTTAGTGGAAGTTCTCTCTGTGTGTGTGTCTGTGTGTGTGTGTGTGCGCGCGCAACTAGCTGGAACCTCCTAATCAGCTAAGCAAGCCAGTAACCCAGTGACTTTGGGCTATATGCCAAGAATATGTTGGAGTACATTTGAAGAGACAGGCCTAAAACAGAGGGATGGATGTCTAAAGTAAACCATGCCTAAAATAGACTTATTGAGAGCTATAGGGTTCCTACTAGCAATGGCTGGCACATGCTGGGAGTTGTACACCTTTTCTCCATGGGTCCTCAAACTACGGCCCGGGGACCGGATCCAGCTCACCATGCCCATTTATCCGGCCCACCATGCCCATTGGGACCCATGTGCATGCCCGCTGCCGCCCACCTCGCCCCGCGCGTGGGGAGGCAGCAGTTTGCTTGCTCTGAGAAAACGATTTCCAAGCAAGCAAGCCAGCCACTGCTGCATGCGCCCACATCGCAGCACGTGTCCGTCCCCCCCTCGCCCCCCCTCGCCTGCGCCTCACCCCTGCCTCAGCGCGCATGCACACACACACCGTCCCCGCCCCAGCACTTTTCAACTGGCCCCCTGCTGGAAAAGTTTGAGGACCCCTGCTTTTCTCTGTCCAAGCATTGCATCTTAACTTTTGGATCCAATCCAGAGTTTCATATCCTATCAGTTTAAAAATCTGTGGCTATGACTATAATCCTTTTTGCCTAAGGATGACAAAAGAACTCCCAAATGACCCACAGAGATCCACAGTGTCTTAAAATCAATGATTAAAGACCTTTTTATTTAACCACCATTTTAATAATATCATTAATTTTAATAATATTAATTTTATGCCATCACATTTTCATTTTCTTTCTTTTTCTTTAGTTATGAAAAAGATATATTGTTGTTTATTTTGTTTTATTGTTGAATGTTTTGATGATATTTATATTATTATATTGTTATTTTTACCTTCTGTAAACTGTCTTGAGGCTTGTTTATTTATTTAAAACATTTCTATGCCAACAGCATAGAAATGTTTTAATTAAATGAAGCATTATGCAAAAAGTGCTAAATAGTGGAAATGTAGAACATCCATGAAACCATTCCTTTTCCCCAGAATTTTCATGCAGTTAAAATTCTCTTTGCTGCTAGAGTTTCAACTGATAGGAATTGTGGTCTAAAGCATTTGGATGGCAGCAGGTTGCTTAATCCTAATGGTTATCATAAACCATTATATTTCTCCAATTTAGCATGCTAAGAGAGACTGCAAAATCAGCCATGTTCTGAAATAACTGTGTCTGCCTGTGCTAATATTTTTGCTGATCTTCCAGTGTAGAAAACTGGTTAGAATGTTGAACTAGGATAGGTCCAAATCCCCATCCCATCATGTAGCTCACTGTTCTTGGAGACCATATTTCACCAGCAGGGAAAAGTACTACAAGATTATAAAAATATCCATATTATACAAAGTCTGGGAAGGGAGGAGGTTGGCTTGTTAAATCTATGACTGATTAAAGTGTCACGTTTGTGGAAACTTTGTATACACAAATTTATGGCAAACAACCTTGTTTTCCTAAACTGAAACTTTTGCACAGTGTAAGGTCATATCTGAGACAGTGAAATCAGCATATTTTGCCCCAAGCACTGTTCGGTTTTGTTGTTTTGTTTTGTTTTGTTTTTACAAGTCTCAAATTTCTGGGAGAAGGAAAAGCAATCCCTTTGTCCCAAAATACCTTCCTGTGCTACTTTTAATACATTTGTGGTCACTCTATTAACTCAAAAAGAGTTGAATGGTAACAAAAGAGGAAGAAGAACTCAGCCAGCTTATATTTATCACACAGGAGGCTAGAACAATACCTGACATCCACGCCTGACTTTTGAAAAGGCAAGCAGAAAATAAGTTTACCAGCAAGCAGATTTGCTTCCAGAGATGACTCTCCCAATTTAGAGTCCTCCTTCACTGACAGATCAGCCTCAATGTTTCTCAGTTTAGAAATCTCTACCTACTGAAATAAGGTTCTGATATGCCCAGATAATAATCTTATGAAATTCAGCACTCCTAGAATGAAATGTAGGGATGTGGAATGTGTGGCCCACCACATTTTGTGCGGCAAGGGCTGATAGGAGCTGTGGTTGCACAACATCTGGAGGACCATATGTTGCCCCACCACTGATAAATCCAGACAGGAAAGAGGTGTGGTCATACTTCACACTGGGTCACTCTAAGTGGAGCCTCACAATGGGGGTCTCCAGAATTTGCACTTCAGCCCAATATGATAGTGCATCATCCACAGGAATGTGCCTGTAAGAGGCACATGGTTTGCCCTGTACTGCAGGAAGGAAGGCACCTTTCTTCTCTCCTGAAAACGACCTTGTATCAAGGTGCATTAAAAGGAAAGGTTGTTTTCCTGCTATCTTTGGCAGAAGGGGTTGGGAGAGCAGGAAACGTGTCTTACGCCCTTCTCTCCATTCTGAAAGCTCACATACTGCTTTGCTTGTGAGCGTCCCCTCCCCCACCTCAAGTTGTTTGTGAGCGTCCCCTCCCCCACCTCAAGGACACCAGGGGTGGCTCCAGCAATCCAATCCTACCTGCACCCATCACCCTCAGTACATCATGGCTCCTGGGGGAGGATGAGAATCTGCAATCAATTCCCTCTTTGCCTGCTGTGGGGCGGGGGTGGTGGTGGTGGTGGAGGTCTTTTAAGTTAATTTTAGAAATCTTTGTGTTTGTGATTTCTTTATCTCTGGACTGGTCTACAGATTTTTCCTGTATTTTTGTCCAAACATTAACTTTACAAGTATCTGGTTTTAGGAGGCTGGGGGTTAGAATTGTCAGGGAACCACAGGAATGGGTACAGTCAGTACTCTGAAAAGGGGCTGCAAAAAGGCAGGGAATTCATATCTCCCTTTCTGAAGAATTAATATCTCCCTTTCTTCCCTGGAGATTCAGGGAAGTGGTGAAAAGGTAGAAGACAAAGAGAACTGTCAGTTTGATACTTTCAAAAGACACTTTGAATCATTACAATTTTTCGCTTTACTGCTGCTTTGACTGAGAGCTAGGCAATGGGACCCTGGCATGCGTGCAGAAATTAGCCTGCATGTTGTCCCATCCTCTCAGTTTCCATGCATGTTACCTATTCCACTTCCTGTCTACCTCTGAAAACTGAAATATACAAGAAAACTGACCAGGCAAAACTACACTTATGGGAACTCTTGCAAAAGATCAACAAAAGTGATAATAGGAGAAAAAATGAAACACTTTTTTAGGGTCTGAAAAAAAAAATACAAGTTTTAAGGACTGAAAAAAATAAAAAGTACAATACCAACCTGCACCTTTTGGGAATTCCATATTTTTCCCTAAGCAGCAAACAAAAAGTGGCAGCAATCCTAGTGGGGGGTGGGGGGGTGGGGGGGGGAGACAGGATCTGCCATGAAGGGCCCTGGGATACTAGCTGGAACCAAGGAATAAAAGTCAACAGTGAGCCCGACTCAGGCACACTATGGCCTGTTCCCCAACCCACACTGTGTAGCTTGTTTGAAGGGTGGCTAGCATGCTGTGCGAATCAGCCCAATGCCTGAAACCAATATATAGATAGGCACATACAATTTAGGCTATTTTATGTGACAGGCAGTTAACACTGTTACCAAGTACACCTAAATTCTGCTATTCTGAGACTGGAAGCTTGTACTTGAAAAAGAGGTCTCATCCTGTCTTGAGAAAGACAAAAGGAGGAGGCTCTGCCCTTACTGAAAGATAGGCAAAGCCTGTGGAAGGCTAACACTGTATCATCAGCTGCTTGATACGCCTATTGTCTTCCATTTAACTCTGACTTCTTTTATCCCTCCCTTCATATCACATAGCTAATCTATTCACATCCTGCCTTTCCATTGGAAGGGCTAGTTGGCCATTGTGGAAACAAAATGCTGGACTACAGGCCTTTGGTCTGTTTTACCAGGGCTCTTAATGCTCTTATCACTGCGAAACTGTAAATCATGTCACAGTCACCATCATCATCATTATCAGATAAATGCTTTCAGCAGCATGTTAATTTTTACCTTCTTGCTTAAACCAGAAGGTTAGTGGTCTCTTGTAGGAGATTACTGGTCAGCCACATGTTAACCCTTTTAGCAGCCCTGTTTAAATTCCAGTGACCCATAGGAGACAGGATTTATTTGCCATTCTTTGCATTTTAATGATTAAATGCAAGTTTGGGAATAAAATCTGGTGCCTGCTAGCTCCTATAACTAGGCTTCATTTGATATAAAGAAAAACACATTTTTGTAAGAACCTCCCCTTCTTTCTGCATGTCTATCAGCTCACAAGATGCTTTCCCTGCCTCCTTTGCCACCATTTCTGCAGGGAACTCAGTCAGTTTTTCTTCCTAATTTTCTGTTTGTTTTAACAATTTTGTTTTGGCTCAAGAAGAAAAGTGGCTGGCTGACCACCTGCACATTCATCAGCTTCTGGGAGGTGTTTCCATTCTCAAAAACCAAGCAGAGCAGGAGGTTTTAGAATAACCTTTTCTTTTGCTTCTTCAAGAAAGAAGTACAACCCAGTTATTTAGGTTCTGCCATCTTACATACCTGTTTTCTTTGCTTCCTAAGTAAGAAAGCTTTTGCCAAAATGGAGATTTAACTATTCCAGAATGTAAAGTTCTCAGCTCAGCCCTAGTTAAAATCCTGCATCTTCTGTTCTACATCTGTATGTGATCTACTCTACTATCTAATATACTTCCCTGCAAAAGGTCACCCCTTCCACTGTACACTTTTATCTTGATCCTGGATACCAGTATCCTCTCTGTAGTGCTCATTTGCAAAATCTCTACCCACAACTTTTCAAAATCAAATAAGAACTTTGTCTTCTTCTCCCAGTTCCATCCCTCTTTCCCAATCACTAGACCACTCAATTTCACCTTCAGAACTAATCCTGTAGCATTTCCCCAAAGATCTTTCTTTCCTCCACACCTCATTGGGTGACCCACTTTCTGTCTCCCTACATGTGCATCAATCTTCCTCTGCTTTCTCTTCTTCAGATCCTACTGATGCGTAATCTCTTCCCCCATACAATAGATAAAAACATTAGGCATCACAAATTATTTTAAAATAACACAAAAAGACAATTTAGAAAGAGCCAGCAGGCGGCAGCAGGGAGCTTGTTCCCAAGATGGGGAGCCACCACTGAAAAGGCCCTTCCCCTAGTTAGCATCGTATGATCCTCTTGAGGGGTTGGCATTTGCAGGAAGACCCCAGAGACAGAGTTGGTGCCCGGGTAGATCAGAGTTGGGAGAGGTGCTCCGATGGGTATTGTGGTCTCAAGCTGTGTAGAGCTTTATAGGTTAAGACCATACCTTGAATTGGAACCAGAAGCATATAGGCAGCCAATGCAGATGGGCCAGAACAAGTCTCATAAGTTCAGTCTTCTGGGTCCCAGTTGTTAATCTGGCTGCCACATTCTGCACCAGCTGCAGCTTCTGAACTGTCTTCGAGGACAGCCCCATATAAAGTGCATTGGCATAATCTGATCTAGAGATTACCAGAGCATACATTACTGAAGCCAGGCTATTCCTGTCCAGCTGGTTCACCAGTTGAAGCTGGTAGAAAGCATTCCAAGCCTCCAATGGCACCTGAGTCTCAAGTGAAAAGATGGATCAAGGAGTGCCCCCAAGCAATGAACCTGCTCCTTCAGGGGGAGAGCAAATCCATCTAGAACAGGTCAAACACACCCAATGCAATCAAAAGAACCAGTCACTGACAACATCTCAGTCTTGTCTGGATTGAGTTTCAGTTTGTTAGCCCTCATCCGGTCCATTATTGCAGCCAGACACTGGTTTAGCACATCCACAGCATTCACTTGCTAAGGGTGAACAGGAGAAATAGAGTTGTGTACTATCTGCATACTCCAAATGACCCCAATCTGCAGTTTCATGTAGATGTTAAACAGCATGGGGGACAGATCAGATCCCTGAGGAACTCTAACTGTAGAGAATTCACAGGGCTGAACAATATCCCCCATGTACCACCTCCTAGAGACACCCTCCAAGTAGGAGCAGAACCAATGCAATGCAGTGCCCCCAGTCCCATCCAGAAGCCATCTGCTCCAGAAGGATACCATGGCTGATGGTATCAAAAGCTGCTAAGCGGTCCAGCCATATCAGCAGGATTGCACTCCCCTGTCTCGCTCCCAGGACAGGTCATCTTACAGGGTGACCAAGGCTCTTTCCTTGCCAAAATCAGGCCTGAAGTCCAATGGAAAGAAGAAACAGAATGAGTGTCACCAGCATATTGATGACACAGAACTCCAAACTCAGGACAACCTGTCCCAAAGGCTTCATATATGTTGAATTGCATGGGGGTGGGGGAGCAGAAACGAGGAATTCCAAAGGGAGGGAGTTGAACAGGAGACCTCCAGCATTACCTTCTAGGACCATCCTTCCAGGAAAGAATGGAGCCACTGTAAGTCATTGCCTCCAATTCTCATCCCAGTGTGGTGGCAGAGAAGGGTATCATGGGCAATGGTATTGGAAGCCACCAAGAGGACTAGCAGAACAGGGACACACACCCTATCTAGTTCCCAGCAGGGGTCATCAACCAAGACAACCAAAGCTATTTCCAGCCCATAGCCAACCTGAAGCAAGATTGAAATGGATTTAGATACTCTGTCTCATCCAGGAATCCCTGGAGTTGGGAGCCCACCACACACTCTAAGCTTTTGCAAAAGTGGAATAGTGGAGACTTGTCAATAATTATCTAATACAGTGAGATTCAAGGAGCACTTTTTCAGTGCCTCCATTGCCTCCTTCAGACAGGCTGGGAACCTGCCTTAACTAAAGGAGGCATTAGCCGCAACACATAACCATTTGGCCATTCCCCCTCTGGCTGCTTCTGTAAGGCAGGAAGGGCAAGGAACCAGAACACACAACGTGACTGTCACCTCTCCAGCAATCCTCAAGCTGTGCAAATTGAAAAGCATCCAATACCGCTGGACAAGCAGGAGCCACAGTTACAGCCAGTTGGCCTGTATCAGCTACAGCATCCAAGTCAGAGCAGATCTGAGTGACTTTGCAGGCAAAGTGCTGAGCATTGTTCACAGCAGGTTGTTGGGAGGTCTGAGCCCTTCTCTTGCAGGTCCATGTATAAAAGACCCCAACCGTCCTCTTCAGAACAGCTCTTTACAGATGCAGTAGTAGCAGAAAAGTGTATCTTCTTTGCTGCTCATATCATACAGGGTAAGCCTTCAAATAAAATGTATAATGAGTTGACTCAGATTCATTCCACATTTTCTCTCAGCATTATTCTAGCCATGTCTCACTCATTCCATTGCTTGCAGCATCCAAAAAGTAGCTCTACTTCAAAGGAGAGGGTGCTCAGGAAAAATCATGCCCACTACCTTGGTCATTTCTCCATTCCAGAGATTCCGTTGATACTATTATGCATTATCAGCCTCCTGAGATTGGCCTTCCATTCCTGCAGAAGTTCTGAGTGTCAGTGAAGTGAGATTAAACCCACCAGGTAGTGATCTGTCTGCAATGAAGTGACTACCAGGAGTTCTATTCTCAGATCACCCACACATATCAAAACGAGATCCAGAGCATGCCCAACAATATGGGTAGGCCAGATACTACTGGGGACACTATTGGGGACAGACCCATGGTTGTCATGGAGGACATGAAGTCCTGAGTTGCTCCCAGCAGGGCAGTCTCAGCATGGATGTTAAAGTCCTCTAGAACAATCCAACATCAACCCTGGCACTACCCTAGCTAGCTCAGGAAGGGAAAGGGTGGTCAGTACACCAGCAAAATCCCCATTCTGTCCCAGGCAATCACTTTCAAAAGCACACACTTGAATCCAGCAGACTGTGGGATCTCTCTTGGACAGGAGGTCAGAATCCCTATAGACTGTTGCCATTCCATCTCCCCACCCTTTATGCCTGGTCAGCTGGGCAGAGGCAAATCTAGGAGAGGTTACCCCTTCCCCAAGCTTCATCCAACCAGCTCTCTGTGATACAAACCAGGTCAGCATGCTCATCCAGAATCAAGTCCTGGACAGCAGTTGATTTACCACTCACTCAATGATCTGACATGGATCAGCAAGTCTCAAAGCAGGGTGTCTGTTGCCAGAGTTATTTTGAATGTGGGAAAACCTGGGAACAATGAACACCCTCTTAGTGCATATTCTCTCATTACAGCATAGCTATGTTACCCCTCCCCCACCATTTCCCACTCTCTGACCTCTATAACTGCAATGACTGCCCGACTTCCTTGAGAGAAACATTTGTAGTGCTGCAGGCTGCCATTACCCAGCCATGATACTTGGAGCTGGCAACCCTGCACGCCACAGGTCAGCAGAGAGGTCCTTGGCCTTCCTAAGCAACTCCCCAAAAGGAAGGACTCCTTTTGAAACCACACCTTTGGTGGCTGCCCTGTCCCTGCTGGGGTCTAGCTTGTATGCCCCAGGTCCCAAAGTTGTTGCAGCTGGGAGGGAAACGACACTTTACTGGAGCTGAGTCTGCAAGGAGGCAGTCAAAAGTCCCACAGGTAGGAGTAGACTCCAGATCAGCAGCACTTGTCTTGCAATGCTGTAGCACTTCCTCCCCTTGCCAGTTGCAACGGATGATCTGTTTGTCTTAATGCAGCTAAATATCTTTAATTTAATTAAAGCTTTTGAATATAAGCTTTAATCTGACCTTTCAAATGCATTTCCTAATTCTTCTGAATAAATTAATCCTTAATTTAGTAATAAACCCATCTTTCTTTGATCTCCATCTTCCCTTCATCCCTTAAGGTTCCAATTTTCAGAAATACTTGACATCTTACTCTTATCAAGGTAGCTTGTATGTGTGCAACCTGTTTATTTTATAACACACTGTACCAGTAAATGACCATTTCAAAATAGCCTTCAGCAATATTTCAGTTGTGAAGTCATGTGTCATGTGATGGACTCTTTAAATGTCTGATGGTACCAAAGTAAAAATGTGGTAGAGACTACAAAGTTTTCACAGGTCTACTTTTATTTTAAATTCACTTAGATTTTTTGTGATCTCAACAGGAAAGAACAAGAGCTAGTATGCAAAAATAGTTTCATTAATTGTTAACAATTTACCTTTTTGAAGTGCACTAAATGTAGTAGTCGGATAGGTTTGTTATATTTTGTTACCAAAGTCAATTTATTAACAAGTGTGACAATTACAGAAAACACCACAGGTTCTAAAATAATTTAACAATTTTCATCAATTTTATATTTAAAAAGTACTGATAAATAAGAGACCCTGACAATTTATTAACCACATATTTTCTTACATTACTCAACTATTTAAGCAGTTTGAATTTAAAAGAATTCTGTAAGAATGCTGCTTTGCTTCCAATTAACTGAAAATTGGCAAACCAAAAAAATATATAATTAACATGCACTGTGGACACTGTACCAGATGCAGGAAATTGACCATTATGTCCAAGTATGACAATACAAACATTCCAATTCAGGTTTTCCCACAAAGTACATATCTGTGAAAATTAAGGATTCAGATACCTATTGGCTAAATTTGCTACAAGATAAAACATACGCTACTAAACTAGATTTCTTATAAACATTCAACATATTAGTTCACATGTAACTGAGAAGGCAAATAAACATAATTTACAAACACTGCTTGTAAATGTTTAGCTTATGGTTAACAAATGTAAAGGTGCTGCTGTATTGGACAAATTAGAAAAAGACCACTGCAGTTTGGCATTGTTACAATTCAGTCTTTAAGCTTTGTCCATGCTATCATTTTCTGGTTTTAGCATCAGCAGACCCAAATAATGTTTACAAGTTTTTGCACACAGATGCTTGAGGTTTTATTAAGATGTTAAATTCATATATTGACCAAAGACCAGTACACTCCTTCTGTCTGGGATGACTGTCCTTTTCCACTAAATGTGCAGCTTCGGGAGGGACATACATGGAATGCTAGGAAGGGAACATCTACCTAAGCATCCAGATCAGCCAAATCAACCCTGGTGATCAAGGGGGTGACAGATTGCCCTCACATCCAAAAATTTGCACCTGTGTACCTTTCAATAAATATAATCAGTAGGCTGAAAAGTGGAATGGCTGTTATATTGAATGTAAGACAAAGGTAGCAGATTTTCACAAGCAGAGCTGCAAGAGTCTTAAGATCCAAGTTTTTAACTTCCTGGCATAAGCAAGGAAATTTCAGGACACAATCACAAAGAACTGCCATGTAGATGTAGCTTTAAACAAGAAACTTTGTGGAGAAGGCATCTTTACAGCAAATTAATTTGGAGGTAGAGAACATTTAGCTACAGGCAGTCAGAGAGACCATTTGTCAATGACTAGATGCCCGGATGGACTAAGCAAGTTGCAAGTGTCATGCGGCATCAGATGCCAACTGATGCAGCTCGCTACTGAGAGTGCCTGGGCGCAAGTAAGGTTTACATGGGAATTTACATGTCACTGGACTGTGTTACTCAATATTCCCACTTTTTATTTATATGGCACCCAGAAAGCAAGTAACTGCTGGTCATTGTAGTATTGAAAGAAAATCTTCCTGAAACCCTTAAATAGCAAGCAATAAAAGGGAAAACTACCTTTCCTATGGTGCTAACTTCAGGAAATTTTACTTCTGCCAAGATTTTGATAGAGTTTGAACAATTAGAGGCAGCATCTGGAGTATTTTCATTCACTTTTAAACTAGCATTATTCTAAAAATAGTAACAATCTTTATAGTATAGTCGGCACTTGAAAACTGGAGTCAACTGGTGCCAAGCCAAAGATTCTCAACTGGACCTGAGTCAATGCCTTCATTAGATTTGGGGTTCAGGCAACTGAAAGCAAGCAGCAAAGTAAATTCTGTGCTGAGTATGCTAAAAGACAACCACGTGGTTCATACAATCACCAGGGCTTGAACAAGTCCCAGAAGACATGCTGATGTGTGTGCCAGGCATCATGTGCAGGGTGCCAGGGCCTCCCGTTCAGCTATTTGAGGGTTCTTTCCTTGTTAACATATGATGTCATTTGGGTCTGAATGGCAAAGCAAACCATGCCCAGACAACCAAATGGTGCCTGGCACACATTGCAGCTTAAGTAAAGCTATGGAAATTGTGGTGATCATGTGAACCAGACCACTGAGAACCTCCAGTGAAGCATTGGCAAACAACCTCCTCCTTTCTGTCACCAGCAAGAGAACATGAAAGGGACAGCTGGCCAGAGGCCTGTGGGCTAAAATAAGTTTCCACACAAGTTTACACTAATCAATTAATTTCAAAAAAGTTGGAATTTGCACCACTGGGGCATAATATAATTAACTGTATATCTACTTCATTGAAGTACTGGACACTTCCTTCAAACTTATGTGTATTTTTATTCTTTTGCACGCTTTGTCAAACATTGCACACATTTTAAAATAGGTAAGAGTATTACTGCAAAGTAGAACGTCTGAATTGCATCAAGCAAAATCATTTGAGGGAAAGGGGTGTTGGTTAAAGCAAACATGTCCATAATCTAACTGTTGCATAAATAGTGCATGTTCATTCTTATCAAAGGCTTCTTGAACCCTTACCACTGAAACTTCTGAACAAATATCCAGTTTAAAGAACATAGTGCACAGCCCAAGCATACCAGTATGCTGGCAACCTCCGTAAATCATTTAATACACGTGCTGAACTACACTACATAAGTAATCTCAAGGTTCAATACCACAAAAAAGCAAAATCCAATATTCATCTAACCCCAGAACATTAAACGTATCATGAAATAAGAACCCACAGGCACTTTTAATAAATTTAGTGCACTAAAAGTTACAGGCCACAATTGCATGATTGAACAATTTAGTACCAGTTAACAGCACAAAACAAACTTTGTTCAGTCTTTTACTGATCCAGATATAAAATGGTAACCATTTATAACACACTGGAAAAAAGGATCACACAAGAGGGAAAAAAAACCATAGACAATCTTAAACATATAATTTCTGTAAATCCTAATATAAAATACTTTTAGTTAACCCTTTAAAAGATTTAGTAGGCCAGCTTCCCTTCTCCGTACTAAAAAAAAAAATCCATAACACTCTTAATTATTGGTGGTCCATTAATATCCAAATGTGCAAAAGTTACAATTCACCTTTAGGAGTGCATCAAAAATAGGCTAAATATTAAAAATAGCTGTATTATTCTTAAGTTTCACAGCACCAAATACCTGGAATTCTAAGAGAGTTGGATTTTATAGAAGGGCAGTGATTTACAGAACAGTTCCACAAGAGTTTCAGTTAAACAGATTTATGTCAGTGCAAGACATTTGTGGCCTTCCCCGTCAGGGATCTTTTTCTCACACACAGATACCCATTTCATGCAACTTAACGTATGTAATATGCAAGTCTGAAATGCAGCATACGTGATTTTCATGCTATGAGTACACCGATGATGCAGTTGATGATAAATCTGCATATGCATCACACGGAGAGCAGATCTCATTTCAGACGCCGCAGCATGTGTGCGCGCGTGTGTGTCTGGGGTGGTTACATAGCAATTCTCTTTGCATAGGAAAAGTGCATTAGGTCATCACTAGGTACAATAACATTTTGCAATCGTGATCCTGTAAAAACAGATTAAGTATTTAGATTTCTGAAAGGCTGTGCCAGTATTTTTAGAAAACAAGTCAACTTACTTGTCAACAGTCTGAATTACAGTACAAGTCACATGATAACATTTCCTTTGTTATATCGCTAAGATGCTATTCAGTTTTGCCAAACTGATGATGAAGAGCAACTGGTACCTTGCTTATTGACAACAATAATTTTAAGTCTGTATTTTGGCCCCTCCCTATTAAAAAGATTTATTATCAGGCTGCTGAAACAGCAAAAAGCCTGCTCTGATAGTCAGTACAAGGCAGCATATGACTAGTTAAACATACACGAATTTGAATGTATACACACATATACAGATCTACATAAGCAATATTCCATTCGTTGTTCTTTCATCCCATAGTCAATCTTTGGCTAAAAGTCTGAGCAAGAAAAGTCATGGACCAATAACACATGTTTTGCTCTCCAAACTCTTTCCCATTATTACACATCACTGACTGGAAGGCTTGCATCATCCAGGTCCACGGGGCCAGGATCCTGTTCCTGAGTGCCATTGTTATTCTGAGGTTCCAACAGGCCCTGCAGAGTCACTTTGGAAGCTGGGTCTCTTGAAGGGACAGCCTGGATCTTGAAGCTCCCTGGCTTGGCCTTGGTAAAAGATTCGTGAAATCTTCGCTTCTCCAAGACAAGGGGCTTGCTGTTAATGGTTTGGACCAAAGCGGGGTTGTGAGTGGTTGTGCAATGTGAGGTGCTGGCTGCTGTTTTTGCAGGACAGTAGGAGTCTGCAGAACAGCTGGAATGCTCCTGTAAAAGAGAAGTGTTTTTCAGATTCAGTGGGTCATTAACTGCACATAATACATTTCAGACTACTACCCCTGAAAAATAAAAAAGAAACAAAAAATCAGAGGGGTAAACAAAGCAAAGCTTAACAGCAGGAAGCAGATGCTTGTCCAAAGCAACACAAGGTTAAGACTGTGAGCTTACAGCAGTATATAATAGCAAATTAAAAAGCCAAGTCCAGCCCCTGAAGTCTTGCATGGTATTGCTTAATGTTTCTAGCACAAAATCACTTTTGACATTGCCACTGCATTATTTTAAGAAACAATTATAGCTATTACTGAAGAGATATTTTGAGAATTTAAAAATGTGTGAGCAAATGTTTCCAAACTCTAGTCCCTAAAACAGCTCCAAAAAACTAATCCCAAAAGTGCATGGAAACAGTATGCATATTCAAAAAGCAGCACAATAAAATCTTCAATCCTATGCTGTTAATCCTATTTCTAGCTAATGTGCTTTACAGTTTTGTTGATCAGACACCTGTTCCTTCTTCCCTTGCCATTGTACTGTCTAAGGTTTTTAAGAACAACCTAATTCCAATGGACCATATTCCCAAAATATAACAGGATGCTTTGCAATTTAAAAGGCATTTTTAGTTTAAATATGAATTATTTTCCATCCTTTAAGTTAGTACAGCCAACTAATAACTGCCTATTATCCCATAGATAAAAATGCTGACAAAATGTTTTCTACAAAAATAACAATTTCCTCTAATATTAAGTTATATTTAGAATACAATACTATTCACAACTACTCAGCATGGTAATACCACTGCTGAACTCAGTGTTTGAAGAGTATGTTTTAAATAAGAAACCCACCAAAGGACTTTACTGGCATTTCTATAATGAATGAGACACCACTTGAGACTGAAATATGCTAGACTGGTCAGTGTCAAATAATTCTATCCAATTTAAGAGTTAAGATTTTTGAAGGGCCTTTTCTAATGTTGGATATAAAAAAGAAGAATCAGGTAGCAGGATGTGCAGAAGGCTAGAAACAGTTGCAACTGAACCCTCCATCAGTTATCCTGCCTCTATACCATGACACCAGTGCATCATATTATGGCATGGCAGGGAAGCTTCTGAAGAAAGAAGGCAGGTCATATTCTCCCATTCTAGCATGTTATTCCAGAATTTTTGCTCCACTTCTTGAAGTATGCTGGAATAACAGTTCCACACTATTACTGCCATCAATGCAATCTGGTGTTAAAGACATTGGTGTCTCTTAGGCAATGTTTACACAGGGACTAGTAAGAAGGAACTTCTTCAAGACAGGATACCAGAATGTATCTTCCACAAGTTTGTGGGAATAGCAAATATGGTGCCTCACCAAAAGTCCCGTAGCTATTGCTATACTTTTAATTTGGTGACATAATGTTTATGAGGTGGTACTAAGAGATGGACATTTCTAGACAAATGATTACCTAGTAAGTGCTGTTCCTAAGCATATTATCAGAAATAATTTTCATTACAAGATTCTACAAAGATCAGTGGCACATTTGGAATAGTGGACAAACTATGAATACAATCAACACAAAAGTGTGTTCATACGCAAAAGTTCCAAGTACAAAACCTGAAATTACAATTAAGTTTCTTTTTTAAGCAAATACTATGTAAACATTTCTATAAAGTTTTTCAGCTGAGCCAGTGCTGGATGGGCCAACAGTCACTTTGTAGTCTGAACAGCATAATGCACATCCATGTGACAAGATAACACATTCTGCTATGCCTAGTGATTATAAAGCAAAATAGTTTCTACATTCTTTGTATTATTTTGATTAACATTCAGGTTGCAAGCTATAGTAAGCTCCTACATCTTGCCTAATGATCCCATGCATATCTATTGTAAAAGCCATGCAAATCAGTCCAGGACATTTTCCTTAGGTGCACCCTTTATATGTGCACACACACAAGTTCTGAGTGACTTTTAGTTAGCTGGCTTTCAAAAATGATAAAATGGTACTATGAACTCTCATGCAAATTAGGCCAAGTTTAGTTTGTTTATGCACACACACTATTAACTACTAAAGCTTTTGCACTCACTTAAGCGAGCACATTGAAACCATGAAGAAAGATTTCAGCACTTTGTAATTGTCAATTGTTTTATCTAAAAAGGGATAAAATATATTCTATCTAAAATGATATATTTATGAAGAGAGAATTTAATGACCAATGGGAAGTTAGTAATTTCATGGTGATTATGATCAAAAGAAGAAACCACAGGATTGACCTTATGATTTTATATAATGTTAATAAGTGTACTGGAATTTCAACAAGTTTGTTGAAAGGAGGCAATTTTACATGAGAGCCCACATACATGCTGCATTCACCGGTTCTTGATGTATACCTCTGTATACAAGGATTCGACAGCCTTCTGGCCTGCCGCATCTGGAACACAGTGCAAAGCTAAGATTAGAGTAACCTAAACTTGAGATGAGAAGGTGTGGGTGGGGGGAGGGGAAGAGGTGGGGTGGGGAGAGAGAGAAAGTGCTGAGAGAAGTGGTAACTCACTAGTTGAGTTAACCCTCCACAAAGATTATACACACAGAAAGGCACAAACAGAGAAAAACCCCTTGATAGCTGTGCTGTCACCCAGAGCACATTCATTCCCAAAGAGACCCTCTGTAGTGTGATGACAAATTGATCAGACAGACTGCTGTTGTCTGTTCTGTAAATCTGTGTAATACAGTACAACAACCATGGTTAACTAGCCACAGTGCATTGTTGTATCATCTGAATAAAGACCACTTCCTGCACAATGACTTCTTTTTTTAGGAACAAGACACCCTGACAACCCATGGATTTCTAGGGTTTGTTTGATCCATGTTGGGTTGGTGTCGGAAGGTTAAAATTATCCAGAAGGCTGATTTTATCATGGTTGCAGGGAATTGCAAGCAAAATGCTCTTCACGATCTCACCACCAGTGACGGCCTTTCCACCAGTGCCCAAGCAGTACCATTGACTAACTATCGCTGGTTTGCCAGTTTTTAAAGAAAAAACAGCTCCAGAACATTGTGCAACTGTGTTCCTTTAATTTTTTCCCTCAGGCTTTTGCAAGTGCACAAGAGCACCCTTATGACTGTTCATTATCATCTTATAATTAAAGACATTATAAAGACATTAGGAGGCAAAGTACCTGGAGGAGGGTTTTCTCTGCGGTGGGGTCCCATCTATGGAATGCGCTCCCCAGAGAGGTCCGCCTGGCGCCATCATTATTTGTTTTTCAGCGCCAGGTTAAGACCTTTTTATTTCAGCGATATTTTAATAAGTCTTAATATGGTTTTTTTCTATGTTTTTAATTGCAGCCAGTGTGGGCCGGGGATTTTATTAATTTCATGTTGTAAGCCGTCCTGAGGCTTTTTGCGATTTAGGATGACATATAAATATTTTAAATAATAAATAAATATATCCTGTCTTATTTCCTCTTGTAAGGACCCCAAAGTGGCTGACATAGCTCCAATTTATCATAACAACAACCCTGTGAGGTAGGTTAGGCCGGCAGTGACTGGTTCAACATCACACAGTAAGCTTCAAGACTAAGTGGGGACTAGAACCTGTTCCCTGCACCACAGGAGGTTTACTTGATTAATTTCTTTGTTTCAGCTATCAAATGGAGCAGTAAAATGCAGTAGGAAATGGGCTGAGAAGGCAAAAGTGTATGTAGGAAAATTTCTGTATAGTTGCCAGAGATGCAAGTGTCTAACTGTGAGGAGGGGCAGTAAAAGAAGTGGCAGATGAGACAAGATGTCCCACTTAGCAATGTAATCCTCTGTCTTTTAAGTGTTGAATTGACACTCCTCAGTGGCTTCCACCCAATTGCACATTTTTGTAGCTCTGAAAAATATTAAGAACACAGTAGCAAACAAAAAGGAATAGCAATTGAAAGTGGGGAAAGGAGACAATGTGGATCTGCCATGAAGGTAACTGGAATAGTGGCTGAAGAAACAAGGAAAAAGGAAAAGAACGAGCCATAGTAAATCTGATCATCTGTCAGGCACACTGTGGATTGCCCCATGAACAACCCACACAGTTTTGGCTTATTCACAGGGTGGCTTTGCATGACATGCTAACCTGGCCTCTTCCTAGTGGGAACAATCAGAGCAACTTATATAGTCAGTGATGGTAAGACTCTGCATTTAACAAAGAATAATGGAAATTAATTTCTAATATACAGAATGGAAACAAAAGTCATATCTTGCAATATCTAAACTGCAAAACATGGCTAAAATGAATTATAACACTAATAACAGTATGAAATATGAAGCTGAGTAGCTCTAAATATGCTTTCCATGAAAAAGATACATCACTAACGTTTTCAAAGTGAAATTAGCAAAGTGTCATTTCAAAGTGACATTAGCAAAGACTCAGTTTGGTAATGTTAGAATTGTAGTTCAAGTTCTCTAACAGTAAAGAAATACAGAGTTCAGTTAGGTTATCCAAACATCACACCAACACCTTCATTACATGGTTTACTATTTACTAAGAGGATTAAATGCAGAACCCTTCCAAAGGTAGTTTAAATTAATTTGATGGGCTTTAAAGGACAGAATTCAATAAGCATGGTTTGGTAATTTGACAGTCCCCACTCTAGTCCAGACTAACAAACTGACATAAATTTCAGTCTTATGGGTTATACTATCTGAACTTTAAGACAAGGTATATTACCTAAACATTAATATAAACAAGCAGCACATAAATATACCACTAAGTTTAGCCCTTAATTAGGGCTACACAACTCATAATGCATGTGTAGATGTTACTCCAGATCTAGGAAGGGCAAATAAAGTTGAAATAATAAAATGTTAAGCTTCTTAAAAACATACAGAAGCTGCTGATCTTCCAGGTCCCCGCTGTGCTACTATTGCACCAGAAATTGCTTTAATCCAGCTGTGCATGTCCTCTGGACTATCTGCCTGATGAGGAACAGAGAAAGAGGGAGAAAGATAAAGGAACAATAATATAAGTTTGAAGATACACAGTAAAAGAGCAAGATTTCTGAAACTGGTAACTTAAGCACATATCAAATGCTCTCAGTATTTCTCAAGAATGGAAAAAGAGCTTTTTGTTTTTAATGTTTTTAAATAAAACTTGGGTTGAATCCACATGCTTCTCATACAAAGTCCTAAACACATTCCCCTCACCATCATTATTTGTATGCAACTTTTCAACAAGATTGTGGTTGAACTGGGTCACAATATTGTATATTACTATTGCACAGCTCTGAAAATAGTTACATAAAACAGCTCTACATCACCAAGCAAAAAAAAGTCATTTTAATGGGTGATCATTGCTGTTTTCAGTGATATTTTTTAAAATAAAATTAAAAAAATACTTTCCCTTCAACAATATTGGTACTCAAATTCTAAGTGATGCCTTGACCTTAATTATAAGACAGGTTTCTACTAGCTTTTTACTGTATATTAAAGTTATTCTCAATATGTGCTACTGAAATGTTAAATGGAATTTTACAAAAGAGTGAACAAGGAGCTTTTAGAAAACTAATCTGAAACATAATAACGGGTATATGAAATGTGCAGGTAAGCTGTACTGTGGTAAGATATGTGCTGCTCTTAACCATTTTATAGTTCAGATCTCTCTAGACACTGGCATAGTATCAGAGTTTGTAATACTGCAGCACACAAATGATTTTTCTGAAGGAGAATAAAGGCACTCAGAGAAACATGCAGAGGAACCCCTGACAGTCCCAGGGTGTTCGTTCGGTTTACCCCAGGTAGGAATGCACTGGATGGCAACTTAAGGGTGGCAGAGCACCGGAAAAAGGCTTACAACAGAACTTTGAAAATAGATTAAATAAGCATTCAGTTGGATCATGCTTAGGTGACTCCAGTACCTGGGACAGAAGGATCACCTGGGCAATCACTTCCATTTCTATGACTGGCATGTCTATTGGTAAATTCATAGCTTGTGCTCTGTTCAGCTGTAACACTGTATATTGTCATACGCTCAAATGAAAAAGTGGTCATATTCACAAAGAAAAAAAGTTTTTCTTAAAGCGTTACCTGTACGTAAAAAGTTCGAGAAGTTGTTACAATTTCGAATAGATTGTCTCTCATTAGTATATCACTGAAAAACATACAAAACCATGTAACTGTTTATGCTTTTTAAAAACCAACATTGCACCTTTGATGTATCTGGCACATACCTCTTGCAGTTTCAAGTAACCACACAAGCAGAAGCTGCTTGTCAAAATAAGTAAATTATATTACTACCTACTATAGGAATGTATATACTGGCACCATTAATAAGACTGTGCCACGGTTCTCTAACTACCCACCCATCCATCTTGCCCTAGCAATTTGCAGTAGTTACACTACATTCATAAAACATTATGACTCCCAACCCCTTTTATAAAGAAAGTATCATCAGGTTGCACACTTCAAGTATAAAATCATCATCTAATCAATTAGTGTCAAAGCCAGAAAGGGACCAACAACAGTTTCTTGGTAAAACCAATTAACTAGGAAGGGCAGAGCATGTGACACACCACTGAGGCACCCAGATGCTAGCAGATGCTCTTGCTGCTTCCCCAGACCACATCACAGGCACAAAGGTAGACACTGTCAAGTCAGGACCCTACTTTATCCTTATAGGACAGCAGAATTAGATCAGCGGCAGAGGCCCTTCTCCGGGAACCCTCCGTGAAGGATATTAGGAGGGTGAGTACCCGGAGGAGGGCTTTCTCTGCGGTGGTGCCCCACCTATGCAATGCGCTCCCCGGAGAGGTCCGCCTGGCGCCGTCGTTATTTGTTTTTCGGCGCCAGGCTAAGGCCTTTTTATTTAAAGCTTATTTTAAGTGTTAATTTATTATGGAGGATTTTTAAAAATGTTTAAGCCGAGATGCACCGGGTTTTAATATTTTTAGTGTATAAATTTTTATATGATTTTGTTTGTTTTGTTGTTGTGAGCCGCCCCGAGGCTTTGTTGCAATGGGGGCAGCATAGAAATGTTTTAAATAAATAAATAAAATTTAAAAAAAGATATTATTCTGAAATTCTCTATCCTACAATGCCATGATGGAAGCCATTATGCCACCAGGTTTTCCTACAAGCTAAATTCTCAATTTCATCATTCATACCTGTGGCTAGTACACATGCACGCATAAGCATGTACAAAACCCTCCTTTTTAAGAAAGTTTATTTAAGCACTGAATGGACTTTTGCAAAGAAAAATCCCACGAAATGACAATTCCTTTCATAATATCAACTTTCATAAAAATGTACATACATTTAGTTATTTTTGTTCTTTTTTTTATGCCTCCTTTCACTCAGAGGACCACATTTTCTTCTCCTAAAAATATTGCCAATTGATTTTAATCTAGAGGTCTAATATCTCATCACTTTTGGTTAAGACACATACTAAGGGCAGAACTTCCATAGCACGGGAAGAAACAAATTCACTAAATTATATTGCAAGAAATTGTGTGGTTGGGTTTTCTTGTTCCAACTAAAGGTTATATATTACCTTTACAGGCTTTTAAACCTTCTGTTGCTCACCTTTGTTTACATTCCTGGACCTTATGAACCTCTTTCAGTGGTATAATCCGAAGAGGCTCCTTATCCTAAAAAAACAAAAAACAGAGACACCCACATTGGGTTAATTTTTGGCAAGTTAGCAACTGGGATTTTCAACATCTAAAGGACATTCCATATGAAAGCTTTACAACCCGAAAGACAAACAGTGGATTTATTCACAAAATTAAATTATATGAGCAATCTGAAGCAGCATAAATTAAGCTTTTCTGCCAGAATTTATTAAGGAACATGTCAATCCAGATAGTTTAATTCCATGTTGATTCCAAAGTGAAAAAAGTGAAAGACCCCAATAAACAACTTAACAATATAAGTGATGCTGAAGAGTTCATTTTTTTTATTTTGCGTGACTGATGTGAGGAATAATGCACATACAGTAACCAAAGATATCCTGGTTATCTTGCACTATTACAGTTCATGCAGTCTACAGTCTATTTACCCTACATCCCTGTCCATTACTTTATACAACATTTAATTGAGTTTCATCTTGGCTGGGCTGGGATTTGCTTATGTTCTCCAAAATTTGTGCTCAGCAACTGGAAGACCTGAGGACACAGATACCACTTAAAAGAATAAACTTGCCCAATGTTTGCAAAGAATAAACCATCTAGTTTGTCTAAAAACCACCTAGTGGTTAAAATCTCAGTAGGTCAGAATGCCTTTGTTGGGTCACTCGGATATAAGAAATAGAAGAGAGAAAAATGCCCACCACTAGTTCTTTATCTCCCCGGTTCTCCCTACCAACATATGCATCTTAAAAATTTGAGTCGTACTTGAGTTTCAATCAGTGACAATAAGGTAGAGTAAGCAGCAGGTAGAGCCTGATTCATCATCTCCTCACTATCCTAATTGTTAACCCTTGATTAGCCTCTCAAAACCTTCAAACTCCTTAATGCCAGAGCTATAAGACTGTACATGAAACAAGGCAGATACTTGTAAAATCATGGGTTTTAAAAAAACATATAAGTTAAAAAACAGCTTCAACTGTAGAGAAAAAATCAAGTATTTATTCTAAAGCATACTGAGAAATGCTTGTTTTTATAGATGACAGGACAACACAGTAATAATACTGGATTGATGCAGGTTCATATTTGACTAAAATACAAGCTGCAAGTGGTTATGGCCAGAAATCTGGATGGCTTTAAAAAGGGAATGGAAAGATTCATGAAGGACTATCCATGGCCGCTGCCTTGTGGGCTATGTGTTTCCTCCTTTAGCAGAGGTTGCTGAGGAGCTAGAGGTCTTGCACTGATCCATCTTGAGGGATCCTGTGGGTACCTGACTGCCACCATGTGTACAGAGTGCTGAACTAGATGGACCTTGGGTCTGATCCTGCATGTTTTTTGCAATTATGACTTTTGAATATGCTGTAAAGTTTCTAAAAAGCACTGAGTCAAATGTCATCAGCAGAAGGATATAAGTTCTAAAAAGTTTCTAAAAGTTTAAAAGAAAAATGCACTAGTATGTTTTATCAGTTTAAGCAATATATGGTATGGACAGCATATTGAGATTATTTTTCAAAAATAGGAAAAATATGTCATCTTTCATCTGCCTTTTTCATGCGCCATCATGTGGTTATTCAGAGAATTTAGAGACTATTCCATAGATTTTCATAGATGAGACTATTTCATAGATTCACATTTCACACCCTTTTCATAGTGCAGTGACAATTTTCTCTGTGCTGTTAAATATTACTGAAGGTTAGGAATGTTACAAGTGACATAAGAGTATGACCAAGTATTTATTTTCATTTTTATTACATTATTTCACTCTCTTTTCAAGAATGTGTGGTACTGCAATTAAAAGGGGAGTTAGAGGAATTTGTACTGGAGGTGGGAATCTGTTGGATTTCAACAGTTTTGGCTCTGCAGACTCCAGCGTTCTTTCTCACAAGCAACCAACTTGGCACCAAGCACACTATGTACGTGCACAGGCACCTGCCAGGAAGTGAGTTCATGTGAATGCTGCTCAAGCCCCTTCCCTCTTCTGCACATGTGACTCGCTGGCTTTGTACTGCACATGCTGCAGAAGAGGGTTGCTGGGTTGCAAAACAGGAGTTCCATGGGCATCCGTGGAATTTCTCTTGGTTTGGCTTACTTCCTAAGTGAGGGCCAAGCATAAGAAAGAAGTCCCATGAACAGAAGAGGGTTGGATTTTGCAGAATCACTGCAAATGTACTTGGGACCTGATTTGGGCTTTTCTATTCTTTCTTGTTCTTGAGTACTCCACAGTTTGTGCTTAACTCAATGGACGAATGCTTCTGTCCTAAAAGGGAAGCCATGATACATTTTCAGTATCTTCTTTTATTTGTATGTTCACTATGAAATCCTGAACACTTTCTTAGGCTGCAATCCTATACACACTTAAGAATATATTCCACTGAAATCAGAGGGGATTACTCTTGAACAGACTATCAGAGGACTATTATTGCTTGAAAGCAGATGGCTGATACTCCAACAGTTACTACAATCCACAGTAATTTAGTAAGTAGCCTATGGATTTGGAAAGAAATTCAGTTCAGTATTACAGATAACTAGTGATAATGCTTGGTGCTTACACTTGAGAAACTGAATGATGCAGGAAGTCCAATGATCTGCAATGAAAGAAGTCTACTGTATTTAGCAGTTAGTTTCATGTTGGGTTATACTGAACAGTATCAATTCTGTGAAAGGGAACTAGTCCCCACACTTTTCCTCCTCCTGAAATATCCCACTCTCCAATCTGTTCTAGAGGGTTGGGAAACTCTCTCAACCAGATTTGGCATATGTGTGGGGGCTGAAGGCAAGAGATGAAGAGCAAGTTCTGTGTATATGCAGAAGCCCCCTTATCCATCCATCCATCCATCCATCCATCCATCCATCCATCCATCCATCCATCCCATCCAATACCTTGTGGGTCTCTGGACAGCTTACAACTCAAGTAAGGACATCTGCTTGCACGAAGGCTGGTTCCAGCTCTGTGGGATGACCTTTGCCAGGAAAGAGACATGGGGAGTGCAGCCCTGTTGATTCTCTTGGATCTCTCAGCAGTTTTCAATACCATGGTATCTTTCTGGGTTGGGAGTTGGGGACACTGCTCTGCGATAGCTCTGCTCCTACCTGGTGGATCATCTGCAGATGGTGGTGCTGGGGGACTATTGCTCTGTGCCATGGAGTTCCACAGGGCTCTATTTGGGCTGGAGTCCTCAACATACAGATGACACTCAGCTCTACCTCTTGTTCTCATCTAATCCAGGAAAGGCTGTGACCATTCTTAACCAGTGCGTGGGCTCAGTAATGGACTGGATGTGGGTTAACAAGCTGAAGCTCAATCCAGACAAGATGGAGGTGCTGTTAGTAGGCAGATCATTTGCCCAACTGGGAAATTTTCAAACTATTCTGGATTAGGTTGCACTCCCCCTAAAAGACATGGTTTCTAGCTTAGGAGTGCTCCTGGATCCAGAGTTGACACTTGTTTCCCAGGTGGACTTGGTAGCCAGGAGCACTTTCTCAGCTTAGTTTGGTTTTTCAGCTACATTCCCACTCATATGAGTGGAGCCTTACTATGCTGACCAATGCACTGGTAACCTCACCCCTGGATTATTGTAATGAGTTCTATGTGGGACTGTCTTGAAAACAGTCCAGACACAGCAACTAATTCAGACCTGGACAGCATGGCTATTTGACAAGGACTGGCCAGTCCTTAACAGAGTGATAGCTTGGGGCTAGGATATCTGAGGGAACACTCATCTGTACATGTTTCTGCCAGATCTCTGAGATCCTCTTTGGAGGTCCATCTCTGAGTTTCACTGGCCAATGAAGTGAGAGGGAGAAAGGTCTTCTCTGTAGTAGCACCCCACCTTTGGAACTCACTACCCAAGGAGATTTGCCAGGCACTGTCTCTTCTCTCCTCCTGGCACCAGCTGAACACTTTTATTATTCTGCAGATGTTTTGGTGATTTATTCGGTTTTAACACATTTTAATCATTTTGATGCTGCTTTTCTGTGATCTTTTAACCTTCAGGCTGTATTTAAAATTTTTAAATTGTTCTTATTACTTATTTTTTAAAAAATTGATTTGATAATGTTAACTGTGTGTTTTACTAGTATTATTTTATTATTTTAATTAAATTTTATCTTTATTTATTTAAAACTTTTATATGCCGTCCTAGATGAGAGACATCTCAGGACAGCTTACAATATTAAATACACTAAGACAGTGATGGCGAACCTTTTAGAGACTGAGTGTCCAAACTGCAACCCAAAGCCTACTTATTCATCGCAAAGTGCCAACACTGCAATAAAACCTGAAAACTGAGGTTTTAGGTTAGAAAAAACAACTCACTGCCAGTCCAAGCAAATGTATATATATCCTTGGCAGTGCACTGACTGGCCATGCAAAAGCTCGGACGAGTGGCGGCTCATGAGTTGCAGCTTGTGACATCATTGCCTGGCGCCGCTACTTCTTTCTGAGCATGGGCATGGCCTCTATGTGCGCTGTTATCCAATGCTTGGCTGTTGGGTTGATTCTGGGGTGACTTGGCTTGTGTGCTGATAGACATGGCTCTGCTTGCCCGCTGTGGCACGCGTGCCATTGGTTCACCAGCACTGCAGTAAGACAATCAATTGCAATATAATAAAATATATAACCAATAAAAATAAATTAATTCAAAAGCAACTGTTAAACCCATTAAAATATTAATTTTTAAAATAATGATTGAATAAAAAGTTTTTGACTTGGCGCCGAAAAGAATATAGGCTCAGCACCAGGCAAACCTCTTCAGGGAGCACATTCCACAATCTGGGCGCCACCGCAGAGAAGGCCCTACTCCAAATAGATGTCCTTTTTACCTCCTTCAGGGAGGGTTCCTGGAGCAGGGCTTCTCCCACAGATATTAATGGATGTGAGGTCATATAAGGAAAGAGACATTCATTCAGGTATCCTGGTTCCAAGCCATGTAGGGCTTTATGGGTCAAAACCAGCACCTTGAATTGGGCTTGGACTTCAACTGGAAGCCAGTGGAGCTGGTAGAGGACCAGCATTGTATGGG